TGGGTGGTGAGAAGATTCACCAGAAACAGAGTGGGGAAGAGAACAGGTGGATCTACTGAAATACAGTGCTGAGGGGAGCAGCAGGCGAGACAGGAGAGGTCTGCTGTGCCATGTGGGTTATCTCCCTGGATGGGGATTGAACTCCTGCTACATAACTGCTGCTGCTGATAACTTCATAGTGCTGAGACTTAACCCCTTGCGCCACTAAGAAGGCCCTAGGCTATTTTATAACCAACTTTATTGAGATGTGATTCACATACAATTTGCCAGTTTGGTGGTTTTTAGTATATGGAGAGTTTTGCAACTATAACCACAATGAATTATAGAATGTTTTCATCCCCCCACAAAGAAGCCCTATTTTTAGCAATATTCCCATCCATTTCCTTCCAACACTCTCCCCCAGTCCTAGGATCCATTAATCTATTTACTGTCTATTTAGATTTGTCTATTCTGGGCATTTCATATAAATGAAACAATGTGTAGACTTTTGTGAATGGCTTCTTTGACTTCGCATAATGTTTTCAAGGTCCATCCTTGTAAAATGTACCAGATGTACCCTTTTTGCCGAATAATGTTCTACTATGTGAATACACTATGTTTATCCATTTATTAATTGATTGACTTTTGGGTTGTTTTCACTTTTTAGCTATTAGGAACAGTGCTGCTGCAAACATTTATATACAGATTTTTGTATGATAAATGTTTTCATTTCTCTTAGATGCTTACCTAGAAATAGAATTGCTAGGTTATATGGTAATTGCTAGGCTAATTTCTAAAGTAAGTATACCATTTAATATTCTCACCAGCAATTTATGAGAGTTCCAGTTCATTCACACCATCATCCACACTTGTTATTATCTTACCTTTTGAGTATAGCCATCCTAGTGGGTGAAAGGTGATATTTTATTGTGATTTTGTTTTGCATTTCATCGATGATTAATGCTGTTGTGCATCTTTCATGTGATTATTGGATATTTGTATTTTTTTTGAAGAAACATCTGTTTAGAACTTTCCCTATTATCAGTTGAGTTGTCTTTTCACTATTGAGTTATATAAGATATTTATATATTCTATATATTGAAACTAATCCCTTTTTGCAAATATTTTCTCCCACTCTTGATGATGACTTTTGAAAGACAGAACTTTATTTTGTATCAATGTAACATTGGTTTATAACTCTGTGTCATTTCTACCCAACTCTGGGCCTGGGCTTAGACTTTAGACCTGTCCCTGACTCAGGTCTGGAACCCAGGTCCTTGCTTGTCCTAGAGATAAGCCTGGTGTGCTGAGAAACTGGGTTTTAGAGCACAAAGGTTTGTTATTTGTTTTTTGTTTTGAAGACATTCAGTTTATCTGTTTGTTCTTTGGTTGTTTGTTATCTTAAGAAACAATTTACTAATGCAAAGTCTGGAAGATTTCTACAGCACTTATAATATTGATGAGAAACAATTTCAGTTGCTGACCAAAGCAGTGTTATTTGAGGACCTAGTTTTGTTAGAATAATTTCACTTAAAATTGCAGTTTCCAAGAACTTATCCAAGTAATGCTGAGGATTTACTATAAATGTCTTCGTAATAATTTTATCTCTTACATTTAGATCTATGATCCATTTTGTGTTAATTTTTATATGATATGAAGAAAGACACTCTGCATCTTTATGCATGTGGATTGTCCTAGCACCATTTACGGAAGTTTATTCTTTTGCCTATTGTCTTGATATCTTTGTGAGAAACAATTAACTATAAATAAAAGGGATTGTCTGGACTCTAAATTATTCTATTTCATTGACCTGTGTATCTGCTCTTATGCCAATACCACATTGTTTTGATTCCTGTAGCATTATAGTCCGTTTTTAAATTGACAAGGGTGAGTCCTCCAAGACTGTTTTGGCTCTTTAGGTCCTGTGTGTTTTCATATGAATTTTAGGATCAGTTTGTTAATTTGCAAAATAGGAAGCAGAGATTTTGATAGGGATTAGTAGGGATTTTGTTTGATATGTCAATTCAACAATATTAAATCATCTGATCCATAAGTAAAATGGCTTTCCATTTACTTAGGTCTTCTTTCATTTCTTTATTTTATACTTATGTTACATTTTTTCCTAAATTTTCTTTGTGATACTATTGTAATTATATAGAATTATTTCCTTAACTTCATTTTCAGATTGTTCATTGTAAGTGTGTAGAAATACAATAGATTTTTAATATTAGATTTTGTATCTAGCAACCTTACTAAACTTTTTTTCTTTAGTTGATAGGTTTTTTTGTTTGTGTGTGTATGGATTCCTTAGGATTTTCTTTTTTTTTTTTTTTTAAAGATTTATTTATTTATTTATACAAGCACTGGGTAAAGTCAGAAGCGCGGGAGGGTGAGAGAATTCACCAGAGCCAGAGCGGGGAACAGAACAGGCAGACTGATGAAGTACACTGCTGAGGGGAGCAGTGGGCGTGGCAGGAGAGGTCTGTGCGCCATGTAGGACCCTTGCCGGCGGCTGGGGATCGAACCAGCGCTGTAGAGGCTGCGGGCAGCTTCGCAGCCCAGCGCTCAACTGCTGCGCCACCAGGGGAGGCCCTTAAGATTTTCTTTATACGGAATTATATCCCCTGCAAGTAGAGATAGTTTTACTTTTTCTTTCCAATTGAATGCCTTTTCTTTTTCTTGCCTAATTCTGCCGGCTAGGATCTTTAGTACAATGTTAAGTAGAAGTTGTTAGGAAGGAAATATTCAGACTTTCAACAATTAAGTATGATACTAATTTTTAATAGGTGACCTTTATCAGGTTGACTAAAGTTCTATAAACTGCTTTTTGTATCTTACTTTGTATTATGGATATTTTTCTGTGACTAATATAACTTTGAATGATAGTTTTTAAAGGCTGCATATTATTCAGCCATTAAAATGTCACATCTACAGTATAGTGTGTTTAAGAGTTGTGCTCCTGAGGGCCTCCCTGGTGGCATAGGGGTTAAGTCTCAGTGCTATCAAGCTATCGCCCGCCACTGTGGCATGAGTTGGGTCCCTGGCCAGGGAGCTGACCCACATGGTGCAGCAGACCTCTCCTGTCTCGCCAGCTGTTCCCCTATGCAGTGTATTTCAGTAGGTCTGCCTGCCCTGCTCCCCTGTCTCTCAGGTGAATCTTTTCACATACACCCCACCTCTGTCCTTTATACCCAATTCTTGTATGCATAAACAAATAAAAATAAATCTTAAAAAAATAGTAACTTTAAAAAAAAAAGAGTTGTGCTCCTGAGTCAGTTTATTTTTTATTGATTTGTTTTATTGAGGAACAATGGTTTACAACACCTTTATATGATTTAGAATTACAGGATCACACCCTTCAGATATATGTTACCACATCATATTTACCATCAAGGCACCATCAAGTCTCTTCTGCACTTTACTTTTCCCATCCTCCTCCCCCACCACCTCAGTCCTACAAATCAGATTTCTATAGCTTATTATGGGTTTGAGTTTATCTGACTCTTTATTTCTCTATATTACACATATGACACCATCTGATATTTGTCCTTCTCCTTCTGACTTACTCATTTTATATTATCCACTCCACTTGTTGAAAAGTCAAGAGTTTATCTTTTTTCATAGTTGAGTAGTATTCCAAAAGAAATACTGGATTCCAAAAGAAATAAAGTATTCCAAAAGAAATAATGGCTAATTCATGTAAAACACTCACCACAGTCACATAGAAAGCCCTAGTGCTTAGTAGCTACTATAATTATCTTTTAATTATGTCATTTTCTTTTTTGGAGAATTTACAGTGTCTATATAACTACAGTTTTTGCACTTAAATCCTTTTTTTTTAAGATTTATTCATTTATACAAGAACTGGGGTACAGGCCAGATGCGCAGGAGGGTGAGAGGATTCACCAGAGACAAAGTGGGGAACAGAACAGGCAGACTGATGAAATACACTGCTGAGGGGAGCAGCGGGTGAGACAGGAGACGTCTGCCGTGCCGTGTGGGACCCTGGCCTGCCGGGATTAAACCAGCACTACAGAGGCTGCCGACATCTTCACAGCGCTGCGCTCAACCATCTGTGCTCTCAGTGGAGGCCCTGCACTGAAATCTTTGCGTTTATTTGATTAGTTCTTTTTTTAAAAAAAGATTTATTTATTTATGCATACAAGAGCTGGGGTACAGGCCCAAGATGTGGGGGGGTGAGAGGATTCACCAGAGACAGAGTGAGGAGTAGAACAGGCAGACTGAGGGAAATACAGAGCTGAAGGGAGCAGCAGACGAGATAGGAGAGGTCTGCTGCGCCAGCTGGGTTGCACTCTGGACGGCCAACAATTGTGCTGCAGAGGCCTCGGATTGCTTCATAATGCTGTGCTTAACCCCTTGCGCCACCAGGGAGGCCCTGATTAGTTCTTTGTTCCTCAAACTGGAATTACCAAGTTAACCTTTTTTGAGGATGCTTAACACCTATTGCAAATTGTTTTACTCAAGTAAATTTGTAATATTTCAAATTATCAAGTTGGGATGGAGATTTTAGGGGATATTAAATTGTAAAGAAAATTGGGGTCTAGATTTTGGAAGGACTAAGGCCATCAAATTTAACAATCTAACATTTTGTCTTTTTGTCTTCAGGCCCATCGGAGGCCATTGAAGGTTTGAAGAGGGGAGGGTCATGGTGGTAATTTAGAAAGATTAATCTGTTGTGCTTCTGAGGTTCTCCCTAACTGAGGCCCTGACTAAGGCACCCTGTTATGTATTTACACACTACCCAATATAATAGTAATATTAAGTATTATAGTACTTTAAGCACTATATGCCTTTATGTAAATATTTGTTAACTGTATCTCTTCTGTTTCTGGTTTTCCTGTAAACATGGGTCACACTTTGTATTCCCTCTGCTTCACTCAGTAACTGGCATTTGATAAACAGTGAATATTTGTTGAGTAAGTGAATATTTCATTCTTTACTTTTCTAGAGACTTATTTGTTGACTTTGTGTTCCCTTTATGTTTCTTCCTGGGTTCCAAGGAGGAGGCATCTCCCTATTCCTTACTTGATATCTGCTTGAATTTCCTGACTACTCATCTTGAGAAGTTCTGCTCAGCAAGACAAGATGGAACATTGTGTCTGCAGGAACCTGGAGTATTCCCACAGGAGGTGGCTGACCGACTGCTTCAGACCATGGCTTTTCATGGTAATATAATAAACAAAGGAAACAAATATTACGTGCTATTTTTTGGCAGTGTGTTTTGAAGTAGTACAGTTGCCATTTTCTTAGAAATAACAGAAAACCCCAAATTAGCCAGATTCAAACAAAGGAATTCAATTGTTTTTTACCTGCTTAATTTGTAATTAGAATAAGCAATTTTCTGGGCCTCCCCTGGTGGCGCAGGCGGTTAAACGTTCGCAGCCTCTGCAGCGCGAGTTCGATTCTGGCCAGCCGGCGAGGGTCCCACATGGTGCAGCAGACCTCTCCTGTCTCTCCCACTGCTCCCCTCAGCAGTGTATTTTGTCAGTCTGCCTGTTCTGTTCCCCACTCTGTCTCCAGTGAATCCTCTCACCCTCTCGCACATCTGGCCTGTGCCCGGGTTCTTGTGTAAATGAATCAATAAATCTTTAAAAAAAAAAAAAAGAATAAGCAACTTTCTTTTTTAATCTGGATGTATTTCTTCTTTTTTCTTTCTCTTTTTCTTTTGCTTTGAGAACCATTCTTATGGTAAAAATAATGTTTTTAACTTTAATTTAAAAAATACCCACTTAGAAGTCTACTGGTATAAAATGCATTATATTGGACCTCCCTGATGGTGCAGGGGTTAAGTCTCAGCACTATGAAGCTATCAGCAGCCACTCCAGCACCAGTTCAATCCCTAGCCAGGGCGCTAACCCACATGGCATAGCAGACCTCTTCTGTCTTCCTGTTGTTCCCCTCAGCAGTGTATTTCAATGGATCCACATTTTCTGCTCCCCACTCTGACTCTGGTGAATCTACACACATACATACACACACACACACACACCCCTACCTGCTGTACCTCTGGCCTACACACCAATTCTTCTATGCAAAATAAATTAAAAAAATCTTCGAAAAGAAAAGAAATATAATACCTTTATATATTTAGGGTTTACAAGTAGGAAATCTGACTTGTCTACAGCTGTGAAATAGAATGAAAATGTGGCAATAAAAATTTATTTATTGATTGCCTGTTTTATATATTCTTATAAGCAATTTGTTTTCTTTGAATTTTTTCAAAAACTGTGAGATAGCTGTTATCCTATTTACATATAGATAAGGAAATTATGGTTCAGAGAAGTAACTTATTCAGGGTCACACTGCTGGTAAATGGTGGAGTCCAGGTTCAAGTACAAGTCTGCCTAGTTCCAAATTTATGTTTTTCCACTGTGCTGCACAGCCTTCTACACCTAGTTAGAGTTATCCCTCTTCCTAGATGCCAGATTATGGTGTATACACACACACACACACACACACACACACACACACACACATGCTAGTTACTGGATAAGATACTGTTCAATTCATAAATTGTTTAATAAAGCCAAATAAAGCCAAATAATTCTTTAAAATTTAATATATATATACATGTTTAAATATAAAGCATGACTGCAGACAATGCATTCAAAGAAAGGATGGGGGAGACATAAGGGTATAATTAAGACATTTTAGAATAGCTTCAGAAAGAAGACATCTGTACTCCTTCGTTTTCAGTAAGTTGCTTAAGTTCATAGTCTCTTTATTAAAGTTAAAGCTCCCTTACAAAGCTGCACAATTTATGAGATTGTGCCAGTGCTAACTAGCATTTCTTTCTAGTCTCAATTTAACCATATTCAGTTTAAGCATATATACAAAAAGCAAGTATGCAGAGAAACTGGATCAGTCATTCACTACTGGTTGGAGTGTATAATGGTATATCCACTCTGGAAAACATTTTGATGGTTACTTAAAATCTGAACGTGCAACTAGGATACAACCCACCATAGAATCCCTGGACATTTATCCCATAGGTGTTCACACAACACCTATACATGACTGATATAGCATATTAGATATTATATTAATAATAGCTAAAGACTAGATACAACCCAGATATCCTTCAGTGCATGAGTGGTTATGCAAACTGATGTACTCCATAACATGGAATTTTACTCAACAATAAAAAGGAAAGAAGTGATGTATGCAACAATCTGCATGACTCTCCAGAGAATTATGCTGGGTCAAAAAAGCCAATCCTAAAAGGTTATATAATGAATGATTCCATTTATGTAACATTCTTGAAATGACAAAATTGTAGAACTGGAAAGCAGAAATGGTTGCCAGGAGTTACAGAGAAGAAAGAGGGAGAAGAGAAGTGACTGTGACTATAAAAGGGCAACAGGAGGGGTCCATGAGGAGGTAGGAATCTTGATCCTATTAATGTCAATATCCTGTTAGTAATACTGGACTACAGTTTTGCAAAATTCTACCACTGGAGAAAAAGGATGTCATCTGTATTGTTGCTCAGAATGCTTTGTGAGTATATAATTATCTTAAAACTACAAGGTTTAATTTTAAAGCGTTCACTTTGAGGTATATTTAAAGTTGTGTTGACATGAGTTAAGGGGCTTTCGATTTTCTGTCATTCTTAAATGACAGAAAGTCTAAGAACAACAGAGTATCTGTCACTCTTATAATACAAATAACTGTTCTTTTTTTAACTTTTTTTTTTCTGTTGTCTAGATTTCGGTAACTTTTGTTTTTTCTTCTAGTTCATTCATCCTTTCCACTGTTCTTCCCATTGTGATATTGAGCCCAAACATTATTGTATTTTTTAGTTCTAAAATATCCATTTGGTTCTTCCTTATATCTTTCTGTTCCTTTGCCTGAAGCATGTTTGTGGTTGAAACATGTCAAATAATTTCAAATTTTGTGGTATCTTAGCATTGACATCTGTAGATTGCCTTTTTCTTTTTCTTTTTTCTTTCTTTTTTTTTTTTTTTTGATGTTATTGGTCCTTGGTATGATTTTTTATGATATCAGGATTTTTTTTTTAAAGATTTATTTATTTATGCATACAAGAACCAGGGTGTAGGACAGAGGTGTGGATGGTGAGAGGATTCACCAGAGACAGAGTAGGAAGCAGAACAGGTGGATCCACTGAAATAAACTACTAAGGGGAGCAGTGGGCAAGACAGGACAGGTCTGCTTCGCCATATGGGTTAGCTCCCTGGCCGGGGAGCTGATCAAACTCATGCCTCAGTGGCTGGTGATAGCTTGATAGTGCTGAAACTTTACCCCCTGCGCCACCAGTAAGGCCTCATGTATTTGTGTATTATAATGTGTTAATAGCACATTGATGGAAAGACTAGAAATGCACTGGTAACAAATTAACTCCCCAGATCCGGTAGCCTAACATATAGCTTATACCTCATTTATGATAATTAAATGCTGCAAGTCCATGGAGAGTTCTGCTCCATAGTTGCTCTAGGATCCAGACTTAAAGAGGCTCTATTCTCATAAAGCTACTGTCTAGAACTTGAAGACTCCTCATTTGTCATAGTAGGAAAAGATTGCCTGGCAAATCATGCATTGACTCGTGTTTAATCTACAGTCTTTTGGCTAGAATTAGGCACATGGAATTATCCAGCTATAAGGGTAAGCTAGGAAATGCAATTGTCCATGTGTCCAGGAAGTTGAGGAGAGACAGATGTTAGTGAAAATCAGTAATGTCTACCACAGTTCAGATTCTGCTACTTGCTGCTCTATGATCTTGGAAAACCACTTTCTGAGCCCCAGTTTACATGTCTATATTAAATTACTATGTATATTAAATAAAATATATCACTTGAGAATACTTTGGAAATGTACAGTATGCTGGAAATTTTATCTATTCTTCAACCATTTTTGAAGTTAACATGCTGCATGTTTTTTACCAGGTCTACTGAATGATGGAACTGTAGGAATTTTTAGAGGCAACCAGATGCGCTTAAAGCGAGCTTGCATTCGCAAAGCCAAGATATCTGCTGTTGCTTTCCGGAAAGCTTTCTGCCATCACAAGTTAGTGGAACTTGATGCCACAGGTGTGAATGCTGACATCACGATTACAGATATCATCAGCGGGCTTGGCAGTAACAAATGGATCCAGCAGAATCTCCAGTGCCTAGTGCTGAACTCCTTAACTCTCTCCCTTGAAGATCCTTATGAGCGCTGCTTCAGCCAACTTTCTGGCCTTCGAGCATTAAGCATCACCAATGTTCTCTTTTATAATGAAGACCTGGCTGAAGTGGCCTCCTTGCCAAGATTAGAGAGTCTGGATATTTCTAACACCTCCATCACAGACATCACAGCTCTGCTGGCCTGCAAAGACCGACTCAAGTCTCTAACCATGCACCACTTGAAATGTTTAAAAATGACAACCACCCAGATACTGGATGTTGTTCGGGAACTAAAATATCTGAATCATCTTGATATTTCAGATGATAAACAATTTACATCAGACATAGCTCTTCGCTTACTAGAACGAAAAGACATCCTACCCAACCTTGTCTCCCTGGATGTTTCTGGGAGAAAGCATGTGACAGATAAAGCTGTTGAAGCCTTTATACAACAAAGGCCCAGTATGCAGTTTGTAGGTCTGCTGGCCACTGATGCTGGTTACTCTGAATTCCTCACAGGCGGAGGACATTTGAAGGTTAGACTTTAAAAATGTATTATTGTGTTAGACTAAACAGTGTCTTAGTTGCGTAAGACTCCATTAAGGTGAATGTTTAATAAAATATAAGACGTGTTCATGAAACAGGACATTGTATAGTGGGAAAACCTTGCTTTAGAGGAAAAGATCCCTAATTAAAATCCCAGCTTACTTGCGTCATGACCCAGAACAAGCTATGGTGTTACTTTTTTGTTTTTAATTCTTTATCAGAGAGATAGTATTCATATCGTACAGAATTCTTCTGAAGATTAGTATATATATCTAAATTATATATAGATCTAAATTATACATCTAGATTACAGGTTATTCAGTAGACCCTAGAAAAATTATAGTTTTCATTATGATGACAATTTTTAGATATTTTAAACCATTTAAATATACAATTTCTAATGGATTACTTGAAAGAAACTAGATATACTCATTGAATATTTAATGGGAGGCCAAACTCTCTAAGGGGATTTCTGTTGAAGAAATGGTAAAATTTTACTTTTCTTAAGGTTTCTATTGCCTAATGGCTTGAACTCAGTTAAGCAAATATCTGTTGAACTTGGGTACAGCTTGGGATTTAAAGGTGAAAATAATATACAATCTGCCACCAAGGTGCTAGTCTAATAGGAGTGGTGATAATGTGGTGGTAAATAACTGTAAAACCAAGGGTTGGTGTAATTGCTGTAAGGGGGTAGGTGAAATTTCCCCTGGCTGGAGAATTTGGCATGTTAGCAAAGAAAGGGAATTTTCCCCTACTCCTCTGATTCCTTCTTGGACAGGTCAAGTATCATATCAAATTTACCTCAAACTTAGGAGGAGGAGAGTCTACATAGATGTGGATTCCAAAGCCTGTGAGGCATAGTGGTGTTATATATCCTGAACTAAGGAATGGGATTAGGGCCTGGGACTTCAGGAGAGAGGAGGGAGACTCACGACAAAGACTTCTGCTTTTAATTAGATACTTGCCTTGCCACATAAATAGATTTCTCAGGTAGAAAGGTTATTTCTCATAATAACTCTAATTCAGAGTAATTCACAGAAAGATGCCTAATTTTTATTCTTCTGGACAGTTAAAGGAATGGTAAAAGTGAGCTTGCAGGGCCTCACTTGACCTCAGCTGGAAACTTGGGGAGGCCTCTTCTGAACATCTTGGAGAGACCTGTCCTTCAGGTGCTTAGAGAAGATGATATCTGAGTCAGACCTTGAAGGATAGACTTGTGACAAGTTTAAGGAAAACTAATATTTTTCAAACATATACTGTATCCTCTAGACACTTTTATATTGGGTTATATTAACCCAACTTTATAGATGAGAAACATAAACTCATAGAGATTATGTGATTTACTGGTTTTTAGTTAGAACCAATTTTGGATCGGCATCTGTCTGATTCCAGAGCCCCATAAGCAGAAGCATCCTTTGATCCTACCTGAAGCAGTCAGGGCAGACCTAGAAGTGGATATTGTGACCAACAGGGCAGGGTATCATTTTTAAGCAAACGTGATTGGTCCCCAAAAAGGAGAAGAAAAGGTTAATGTTCCATGTATGAATATCTCAGTTCTTATATTATTTATAAACTTAGGTTTTTAATAATAAAATGTAGAAAATGATTTTGAGTCATTTTTAAAATTCATTTAGTAATATTTTATCAAGTGCCTCTATGCTAGGCACTGTGTTGGACATGGGAATTTGATGGTGAGTACAAACTTAATGTTTTCCTCTCAGGGCTTGTAATTTAATGAGAAAGTCAGACAATCAAATGTCATGTGCTATGTGTGTGTGTGCTTTAAATATGTGTATATATATATTTATATTTATATATTATATACATATTTCCTCATATTATACATATGCATAGATGTGTATATGTGCATACATATACATATACTTTAAACTGTATAGTGCTAGGAATCTAGAAGATATACAATACTTTATATGAAAATGTTTTAACAGACAAATTAAATCTTTGAGGAATTGATGAATGAGTGAGACCTTCAGGGTGAGTAGTTGGTAGAGAACATTCCAGGCACAGAGAATAATACATGTGAAGGGTGTGTGGTAGTAAGGAGCATCTAAGGAACTGAAGGAAGGCCACTGCGGCTGGAGTTCAACAGTAGAAAATCAAGTGCAATGATGAAACTGGAGAAGTAGGCCAATCCCAGATGGAGCAAGACACCATAAGCCAGGTGTAGGACAACATGCAGCTGCATTAGAATATTCATAGAAGTGTGAGGAATTTAACAGCTTATGTGGTACAAGATAGATTTCTAGCACAAGGCTTATTGATGGAAGGAATCATGAAAATGTAAATTACTGTTTTAATATTATTTAACAGTCTGACAAATAGGTCAGATAGTAAAGAATTATTAAAAACTAAAGGGGAGAAATCCCTGTGTGCTGGAAGTTGAGGAAAAATTTCCCAAAAGAGGTGAGCTTGATCTGCCTGAAGAAGAAAAGGAATGAATCCCTGATACATTAAGCTAGATAATCTTCAGGCAAAGTTCCTAGAATAGCTGTGATCTGGGAGCAGTATGATTTTTGCTGATTCTCTCAATGACCAAATAGACCCTAGAGTGAATTAGCCTAAGTGTTAAAATTGAGGCTAATAGGACATCTGTATTCCACACTACCTCCATAAAACAAGTTTTATTTCACAAGTGAAATTGTTATTACTTTAAAATTTTGGCCCTAGGAAACACCTACTTTCTAATTTCCACCTTGGTAAATGTTAAAGCAGTAGTTCTCAGCCTTGGCTACAATTCAAATCATCTGGTATGTAATTAAATAAGTTGATGGATGTGTTAATCTTATTTGGTAATCATTTCACAATATATACATGTACCCAATCATCATGTTGTATACTTTAAACTTATGCAATGTTATATTTCAACCATATTTTGATAAAACTGGGAAAATTGTTTCATCAGCAATCACCTGGGGAGTTTGAATAATTAAATCAGAACCACAGGAGTTGGGAAGCAGGCAAAGGTAGTTTTTAAAGCTCCTCAGGTAATTACAATTAGCAGCCAAAGTTGAGAAACTGGTATTCATTGGACCTTTGCCCATTTTTCAACTGTATACAAAAATTGAAGTTCCTTTTAAGTTATTTGGCTACTGACTTGGGAGCTGAAAAATATTGTCATGTTCAGGGAGAGCTAAGATTGCCACATCTCCTTTTTTAAACATGTCCGTTTTCTCAAGATTGATGAAAAACTTGTCTGAAATGAATGTCTTCATATTTTGATGTTGTAAATTAGCTTGGGTTGGCTGTTTTTGCTTTACGTGCCTCCATTTTTTAGACCACACTACAGAATGCAAGAAATAGAGACAGTGTGATTCCCAGTATTCTTTATAAGGCAATATATTGTACCATAGGTGGGTGGTTATAAAAATGGTTTATTTATGGCACCTCCATATATATTATTTATTTTGGTCTCTTCATTCTGTGAGGAAGGTATTATTGTCCTCAGAAGGTCACAACCAGCTGGTACAGGCATACCTTGTTTTATTGCGCTTTGCTTTATTGCATTCACAGATACTGCGTTTTTTACAAGACCCTCCACCAGCAAAAAGATTAAGATTCGCTGAAGGCTCAGATGATGGTTAGCATTTTTTAGCAATAAAGTATTTTTTAATTAAGGTATGTACACCGATTTTTCAGACATAATGCTGTTGCACTTTTTAGACTACAGTATAGTGTAAACATAACTTTTGTATGCACTGGGGAAACCAGCAAATTCATATGACTCGCTTTATTGCGATAGTTACTATATTGCAGTGGTCTGGAACTGAACCCACAGTATCTCTAAGGTATGCCTGTATTAAAGCCTACCCTTTTACCCTTGGACTGTTTGATTCCAAAGCATGTGCCTTTTTGCTACATATCATTGTCTCTGCTTACTTGGTTCTTTCCTTTTCTCTCAGTTTTTAATCCCAACACAGAAGGTTTTCTTACCATAGAATTTTCAGCTCTATCATTGTTGATTCCCACCGAGTTTTCTCTTTTGTCACTGTCTGTGTCCTGAACCTTCTACTTTTCCACAACTGGAAACTGGTTGGCTATCAAGCTGTGGGTCCCAGTTCCTAAGAATAACTGGAAATATGCTAAACCCAATATTAGTTCTTATTTGATCTAAAGGCAGAGTTGTCCTCCTTCTTGAAAAGGTTTTTAAAATCTTAATTTCAAGGATATCATCCATATCTTATTTTCCCCCATACTTTCTGGCTACTGAGTCCCATTTTCCTTTATCAGTTCTTCTCATCTCCCATATCTCTAATAAAAATGGAGTGTTCCAGGCTTGGTCTTTTAACCCTATATGCCAATGATGCCTAAATTTTTATGTCCAGCCTAGATTTCTTCCTTAAAATAAGACTCTTATATTGAACCACAGTAATCAATGTACAGTAAAGGTACCTATAATTTTTAAGCAGTGGAGTTGGTCTATTAAAAAAAACATTGTTCTAAGTACCTTTTAAAGATGTCTGAGTTAGTGCACCTGCTTTTGAATTCTTAGTGGAGAGGAGACAATTTTACAAGTAGCTTTAATCCACTGAGAGATGCTTTATTTAGTAGAATTATGTAGAGTACTAAAAGAACTTTCCTTAGGATATAGATTTTTACTTTTAATCCCTATGTTAAATATTAAGGTTTACTTTGGTGGCTAAAGACAGTTTCTCTGTTTGAAACTATTTGCAGAAACTACTACATACTGATGCTTTCTTTTTTTATATTTAGTTTATAAAATTGATTGTAGATGCTTATCATTTGAGGAGGCAAATTGCTTAATTTGAGGGATTATTATTGGCGAGATAAGTGTTAATCATGGAATAAAACATGCAGGCAATGAAATTGGACTAGAGTATTCCGTTAGCAAACATTCCAATAACAGTTTGATTTTACATTAAAAGATAACTTGAGGTGGTATTTCATGTAAGATATTATAAGGCTGTTGAAATCAACCAGATGTAGATAGTGACATCTGACTGAGATCGTTGTTCTATATTTTCCCTCTCAGTTTTTTTTATTTCACAAAATATTTCAATATCTTTCAAAATCTATAAGAAACAGTTCAAGGTGATTCAAAAAGAACTAAACACTTGGAAAAGTTTATTCAATAACTGCTTATATATGTGAATACACAGTCAAAATTAATTATATATATATTAGACATAGCACATAAATAGAAAACTTAAAAAGCATTTTGTAAAGAAACTTCGATTATTCCTCAGTCTTACAAATGCCCTGTATCACTTGGTACTCATTTGTACTATAGTCTAATTCATGTTTGATCTTTATAGTATATCATATTAGTGGTAGAAATGTTGCCATAATGTATGTCTTTATTTCCTCAAAACTGCATATTCTCACCTAAATATATATGTTCATGTAAAATCTAGTTACTAGGTAAGATAATTTTACAGTTTTTGTTTTTTTGTGTTACCCTATATAATCGTACTGCCAAGAAAGACTCAGTCTTTCAACTTAATAAGAAAATTGTGTATTTCTGAACAAGTTTTTACATGTGTTTTGTATCCTATTATAAAATAAGACAGATATAAAGACCACAGATAACAAGCGTGTAGCTTAATGAATAAAAATAAGGTGAACACATTTGAGATCATCACTCAGGTTAATAGTCAGCTACCCAGAAGCTCTTCCACATGCCCCATCCTAATCACAGGCCCTCCTCTGTTCTTGGTCCTGATTTCAATAATAATCATGTCTTTATAGTTTTATGACCCAACTGTTTTATCTAGGCACTTTATTAGTCTTGAATTTTTTCAAAATCATTTGTCTTTAGAGTATCTTTTAACTTACAGATTTCTTCTCCATGCCTTTCTTTTCCTTATAACTTGTCTATTAAAGGATCCAGTGTTTTCGATTTCTAGAGCTTCCCTCAATCTGGATTTTCTTTATTGTACACTCAGTGTGCCTATTTCTCTTTTTTGTATTTTCTGCAAATTGGTGGCTGAAGGCTTAAGCAGATTCATGTTTGATCCTTTTGCAGGATCCATATGTATTGTGTTCTTTTATTAGAAGGTAATATCTAGTTGGCTTTCTTTCTGTGATGTTAGCAGATACTGACATTCAGTATCTTGGCATATTAATACATTGGGGATCATGGTGATAGTCTAATAATTTCCTTTTCATTTATTACTTGGATTACTTTTATAAAGAGCCCTTCCTATTATATACATTTTTGTTACCTAATGATATATGAACCACAATTTAAGATAAAAGTATTAACCTGTGTAAATGGGAAAATCCTAGATAGACTTAATTTTTTTCTTTCTTTAGATAGATTTAATTATTAATAGAACCTTTTGATTCTGAATGGGAGTTTGATAAATCTGGGGAAATTAAGTAATACATTTATTTGATGAATACTTATTGAGTACTTATTCTATGCCACATATGATGCTGACTATTGGGATATGGTTGTGAAGGGGTTAGTGTAGCCAGAAGGATTATGATAATGGCTATGAAGGACATAATTGGGAGACCTGACTTAGACTAATAGGTTAGGAATGTCCTTCCTAAGAAGTGTCATATAACTTGAACTGGAAGGAAATTAGGCAAAGAGAGAGGGGAAGATTTTAGTCAGAGGACATTTTATATATCTCTATATATACAGATATGTGCATATATCACATATGCCATATACATCCGTGTGTATAGATATAAATGTATATATGTGTATGTGTGTATATACATGTATAAAATGGCCTGGGGTTGGGGAAGAGCTTAGATATTGAAAGATCTAGGGGGGGAAAGGCTAGTAGCTATAACAATGTGAGTTAGAGGGAGAGGATTACCTTAGGAGGCAAATAGGAGCCTTAATCGTGTGGTAACATCTTAAAAGTGGTACATACCAGAAGACACTGGAACTAGAGGTTTATTGTAGATGCAGTATAGAAATTTTTATCCATAGGTTATAGTAGGTTCTAAGCCTATCTAATAGACATCTCTTTAGGATGTGTATACCTTCATTAGATGTTTGTTTTGATGGGTCGGAAAATAATTGCTCTCATTTGTTTCATACCTTTACAGAGCTGTTCTGGGATCTCTATATAATTGATGTTTAGATAGAGAAAATTAGAGGATTGAAAAGAATCCTAAAAACTAATTTTCTGGCTCTGTTCAAAGGTATCTGGAGAAGCCAATGAAATTCAGATTGCAGAAGCATTGAAGCGGTACAGTGAACGGGCATTCTTTGTCCGGGAGGCTCTTTTTCACCTTTTTAGCCTGACTCATGTGATGGAAAAAACAAAGCCAGAAATTTTAAAGGTAAGGCTAAGAAACTGGATATGAAATTTTAAAAAGTATCTCCCTGGATGGATGATCATGTTGTGAAGAAAGCTGATGAAAATTTTGTATTCATTTTTGATTTTATTTTGTAATGCCACTGATTAGAATTTCAGTTATTAGCGACAGTAAGAAAAGCTAGTTGCATAGTATCACTTAAGTTTTATAATTGTCTCATTAAACAACATAAAAGCCTTCTAGTGCATATTTAACAGCCTAAAACCTATGATCCTTTTGGTATTTTATCACAAGCTGTAGTAGAAAATGAAACTATATAATCAAGACCCTGCATTTTAGATTAGCCTTACATTGCTTCCATATAGACTTTTTTTATTTATACATTTATTTATAAATGTATATTTATAAATATTTATTTATACAAGATTTATTTATTTATACAAGAACTAGGGTACAGTTAGAGGTGGGGAGGTTGAAAGAATTCACCAGAGACAGAGCGGGGAGCAGAACAGGCAGACGAACTGAAGACATTGCTGAGGGGAGCAGTGGGCGAGTCAGGAGAGGTCTGCCGCGCCTTGTGCGTTTCTCCCTGGACAGCCAGGAATCGAACTTGTGCTGCATAGATGGCCAGGAATCGAACTTGCGCTGCAGAAGCTGTGGACAGCTTCATAGCATGGTGCTCAACCTGCTGCGCCACCGGGGAGGCCCCCTTACAGACTTTTAAAGAAACAGTATTGGAATTCTATAAAGCACTGTTTCATGCCCTTTATGAGCTTCATGTGCTTTCATAACTAATCACGTTAAATTCTTCAGTTAACATATTCTAACCAAGATAGCTTTTGAAGGGCAAGAGGAGAAGACTCTTGATTTTGTTGATTGCTTGGAACAATATTTGTCAAAATATGTACTTTGCCCACCAGAAATACAGAACTTTGCTTATTTTTAAAAGCATATTTACGTGTGAGGGAGGGCTCAAAAGAAAAGCATATTTGTTAACTCTATCCCCAAGAAATTCAGGTTTGGTAGAATTGAATGAAGTACAGGAATCCGCATCTTAATAATCACCCCCATCTAATACTTAGTTTTGAAAACTCCTGTATATAGGGCTGTATTTTATTTTGTAGTTCATACAACAATCTCAAGAGATAAATGTTATCCTCTCTTATAATGTTGTATAACTGAGCGTCTGTGAGTTGAGTAATAAGTCAGTGGCAGAGTCAGAAATACCTTTTGTTTTTTGGTAAAGATTTATTTTTATTTATGCGTAGAAGAACTGGGATGTAGGCCGGAGATACAGGGGGTAAGAGGAATCACCAGAGACAAGGGAGCAGAACAGGAGGATATACTGAAATACACTGCTAAGGGGGGCAGCAGGCAAGACAGGAGAGGTCTGCTGTGCCATGTGTGGGTTAGCTCCCTAGCGGAGGATTGAACTCTGGCTGCAGCGGTGATAGTGTGATAGCACTGAGACTCAACCCCTGTGTCCTCCAGGGAGGCCGGGTCAGAAATATCTTAATCTCCCCCATATCTTAAATTTTAAGAATGAAATGCTTGGATAGGGACCAGTAACATTTCAGTCTCTAGAATGCTATCCCCAACATATTATCCCCCCTCCATATAGTGTCCAAAGGACACTGGAACTTGGTATATACATTATCTTTTATTTTTGGTTTTGGATACTGTGAATCTGAGCAATAAAGAACTAGTCTTCTATTCATGATCTGAAATATTTATTCATTCACCCTTTCATTTGATTAATGATACAGAGAGAAATGAAAGAATATAAGGAATTCTTTTAAGGACTTTTACTGGAAAGGAGAACAAAGAAAAAAAGGTGGGAGTTGGCTGAGGAGATGAGATTTAAAGAAGGCTTTTGTTGTATACTTTTCCTTTTAAGATGGGAGGAAAATATAGCTTGTATGCTGATTGAGTGATCCAATAATATAATAAAATGTTGATGAGAGGGGAGGACAGCTGAAGCAATGTCCGTGATAGACAAAAAAGGAAAGGCTCTTGCACCTAATCAGGGGGATTGCCTTTTGACAGGCACCCAAAAGGATCATTTCTGATCGTTAGACAGGAAGGCACCATATGTACACATGTCTGTTGATAGTGGGGTATTTGTAGTAGTGAGGACCTGGAGTTCTTTTCTGCAGTTTTCTCAGTGTATTTGAAAATGAGATCTTCTGCTGATAGAAGGCTAGGAGGGGAAAGGGGATTTGTTGAAGATTTGAGGAGAAAGAAAAGGTAAGAAGTAGTTCTGTAGGCCAGAGGGAAGTGACTGAAGTGACTGCATTTTATTGTACTCTATTAACTTTAGCAGTAGTCTCAAGAAACTGGATGCTGGTATTGAAATGAAATTTGCTACTCAGTAGAGTATATTTAGTGCTTTCCATATAGCAGACATTGGTCTTGGAAATATAGTGCTGAGTTACCTGAATACAAAAGTTTCTAATGAATAAATCTCTAAATTTGAAGAACTTGATACCTACCTAACCAGATGGGCAGGAGTAGGTATTTGTGAGTAACTGCTGAATCCTAGGCTCTTTGCTCATGACTATGATAAAGGTGCTTAAGACATCTTTGACATTATTACAGGTGTACAAGTAATATTGCTATGTAAAAAGGGTTTGTATTTATATCATGGATTGAAGGAAGTAATTTTTTTTCCAGCTTGTGGTTACAGGGATGAGAAACCATCCTATGAATTTGCCGGTGCAACTGGCTGCAAGCGCTTGTGTGTTTAACTTAACCAAGCAGGATCTGGCAGCAGGAATGCCTGTCCGACTCTTGGCTGATGTGACCCATTTATTGCTCAAAGCCATGGAACATTTTCCCAATCACCAGCAGGTAAGCATATAAGAATTCCCTTTCAAATAGTCCTTTTAATGTCTGCTACATATCTCCTACCCCTAACAGTTCAGTTTAGTAGACCAAGGCTGGAAGTTCAAATGCCTTTGTGAGTTGTAAAGTAATAAATTTATGGCATAACCGAGTGGAGGACAATACAGAAGTGGAAAACTGAATATGTTCCCTGCTTAAAAGTACTTAAATCCAAATGTTGGAGAAAATTGTTTAAGTCATAGAAAACTCATCTTCCACCTAAATCTTAAATTTTTGATGACTTTGGCAATAGGCATAGAGCATCTGTTATAAACCAGGTGCTATAAAGTAGCAGAGTACAGAAATGAAAAGACATGAATTTTCTATTTCTAGCAGTATGGTAGTAACCTACCATACCATGGATAGTAAAATAACCTATCCTCAGGATGAAAACTAAAAATGCTGCTGGAATTATTATATTAACTTAAAATTTTTTGCAGTGAGTTGGTAAGTTAGTAAAAAATATTTAGAGGTCAAAAATCAAGTAAAATGGCAATCTAGAGTGGTGAGAGGATCATGAAAGCCATCTTCCTTCATTGAGGGAAACTGTCAAACTATATAAACTTTAGACTTTGGTTTTCACGGCTTTTATACACCAGATGAACAGAAGACAAAGCAGGAACCATTCAAGTATTTTCTAATAAAAAACCCCTTGCACAAGCTATGATTCCCCTCCCAAAAGGGGGTATAAATCATTAGTATAAGGGGCTACAAATAAACTTCCTAAGTTAGAGAAGCAATAAGAGAATAAGCCCAGAGAAAGTAGAGGAAGTACTAAAGATAAAAATAAAAAAAAAATGCAATAAAAAGCAAATGTACTTTGAATTAGAGAGGATCAACAGTCCCAAGAACTGGTTCTTTGACTATGTTAATAATATTGAAAAAATTGACAAAATTGTTCAAAGAAAAATGAGAAAAGTGCAAATAAACAATATTAGAAAATGGGAGTGAGGAGAAATGAGTATGGGCTTCTTTTTTGGAGTTGTAAAATATTCTAACGTTGATTATGGTGACGGTTGTACAACTGTGAATATTCTAAAAGCCACTAAATTATACACTTTAAGTACGTGAATTGTATGGTAAGTGAATTATATCTCAATATATTTCAATAAGCTATTTATATATGTTATATATGTGCATGTATTATAAAAAATATTCCTCAACAGCACTTTCTATAATGACGTCAAATTGAGAACACCAAATGTCCATCAACCCAGATTTTGTCATATGACAGGATACTTCAAAATAGTAAATAATGAATGAATTACAAATGCAGACTACCACCTAGATTAACATCAATTATAAGTTGGATATAAAAAATTGCAGAAGAATACATACATATGATTCCATTACTTAAACTGTGTTCTGCTAACCAGACTGTATTGGCATCACCTGCAAACTTAGTTTAGAATCTCAAGTATATCCCAGATCTATGGAATCATTTATTAAAAATACCCAATTGATTTGTATATAATATAGTCTCTATATATCTTTATATATTCTGTTAATCTGATTTTGCTTGCTGTGAATCAACTTTTTTATATTGTCTTTTTCAGACAAGAGATCTTCCAAGTATATAAAGCTGTTCCAGAAATAGAAAAAAAAGATATAAAATTAACATCCTATTTGTTGCATGGAAGATATATAGAAACTGTATAATAGAAGGAACCACACAGAAAATACAAAGCAATACTAAATTTCAGTATGTACTGAATAAATCAATTCTAAAAAATTAGAAATATGCATTATGACTTTATTTAACCATACCTTAAAAGTTATTTTGCTTGATGGGAAGAACCTGAAAACCTTCTGTTATGTTGGCATACCTTCACTCTGTTGATAAATGACTCATATTCTCATTTTCTTTTGTTTAATTGTACTGCTTCATTTAAAAAATAGAGCCAAGTCTCCCATCAGTCCCTCCTTATTTGGTGGCCAGTGTTTAAAACACTAGCCCCATGTGCTTTAGGTTAGTCAAGCTATCTTCAAAGCGGATGACAAATTCCTTGATGCTCTGTCACCAGGCAAAACTGTTAGCCTTTATCTTTGTCGTCCTCTTCAAAAACAAGTGACAAGATTGGGCCTCCCTGGTGCTGCAAGGGGTTAAGCACAGCACTATGAAATTATCCGTAGCCACCACTGCAGCACGAGTTTGATCCCCAGCCAGAGAGGTGACCCACATGGCACAGCAGACCTCTCTTGTCTTGCCCGCTATTCCCCTCAGCAGTGTATTTCAGTCAGTCTGCCTGTTCTGCTCCTCACTGTGTCTCTGGTGAATCCTCTTACCCCTTGCACCTCTGGCCTTCACCCCAGCTTTTATATGCATAAATAAATAAAATAAATCTTTTAAAAAAATGACACGGTTGGGCCTCGCTGGTGGTGCAAGAGGTTAAGACACAACATATGAAGCTGTTCACAGCCACTGTGGCACGAGTTCGATCCCCAGCCAGGGAGCTACCCACATGGCGCAGCAGACCTCTCCTGACTCGTCCGCTGCTCCCCTCAGCAGTGTATTTCAGTCAGTCCATCTGTTCTATTCCCCACTCTGTCTCTGATGAATCCTCTCACCCCCCACACCTCTGGCCTGTACCTTAGTTCTTATATCCATAAATAAATAATTCTTTTTTGAAAAAAGAAGTGTTTTTAAAAAATGACAAGGTTAACTCATGGATGAGGCAACCAGAATAGAGGGAGATTTGCTAGAATAAACCTATTTGTTACCTTAGTTCTCACTTAATGAAAAAAGATAAAACATGAGTATGTGCAAATAAACTTACGTGGGTCCAGTATGTCAGTCTTTCAATGGTAGGTGGACAGAATAAAGGATATAAGAAATACTTGGGTTTCATTTATCTTTCTCCCTTTTTTTAACCTCTGGTTAAAAAATAAATAATTTAATAAGGACTTTTCCCTCCCTTTGATTCTTTAGTTACAGAAGAATTGCCTCCTTTCACTTTGCAGTGACCGGATCCTCCAAGATGTTCCATTTAACAGGTAAGTGATAGCCTTAGAACATAAAAGGGGGAAAAATGGAATTTTAGAGATCTGTCTAATGACCCCAAAAAAGGGTCTTCTCTTACTAGCGAGGATATGCCTGGTGTATGATTAATAAAATGGTGAATTTGTGCTTTGCCTTATAGAATGCTAAATCTATTCTAATTTAGTACCTTGACATTCATGATAGATTGATTTTCATAGTCCTTTGCTTAAGAAATATATTGGTTATAGTTTTCTGAATATCCATACAATATTGTGGACTCAAGAAACTGAGACATACAAAGAATCAGTATCTTGTCCATGGTTTCGTGGCTAGTAACTGCAAGAATGGAAAGATTCGGGTCTTGTAATTCTAAGATCAGTGTTCTTTTCACTGTGTCATTCCTTTCATTATTATTGTTATTTAATGTTGGATTATGAAGAAACTTAAAGTACAGGTTAACAGAGATCATATAGCTTTATATGTGATATCATTTGATTCTCACAGCAATTCTATGGTATAAGATATAGAGTGGAAGATTGTTTTCTAGATGAGAAAATTAAAGTTCAGAGAGATTAAGGAACTTGCCCAGAGTCCTAAAGTTAGTTGTTGGTGGTTGACTTCTAAAGTGTATGATGACTTAATGATTTGACTGTACTGCCTCCCAGGAGGAAATATTTTATTATTGTTACTAACATTAAATAGAACCGGAATTCAAACCCCAAAAGTCAAAGAACTTCAGAAATCATTTTCTTAACTTCTCTCTATTGCTTTGTAATTGTGGGCATATTTGAGGACTAATGAGCAGTTCACCTTGTAATAAAAGCAGGGAAAAGCAAGATTTGAAAGTGTGGGCTCATATTATAGTCCTAAAATACAGGAATGACATCATACCAAAGTCCTTTGATAGATTTATTACCGATTTGTAGGCACAAAGTGAGGGAGAGTGGCCCATTAGGAATCTACTGTCATACCACTAACAGACTGGATCAGAGAGGGCCTTGGGAATAGAAAGGAGGTAACAATAGATTTGAGGGAAGTTAATAGAGGAGTGATTTGCATCAAAATCATTCAGCCATCATGTATTAAGAACTATTTCTGTGTCAGGCACTGTGTTGGGTTCTTGGTATGAAGGACTAAACAGCAGATGGTTCCTTCTCTCAGAGAACTCACAGGCCAAAGGGGAAGTCAAATGAGTCTGCAGATAATCACAGTTCTCTGACAGAGTTATAAGGTGTTAAGGCCCACTGATAAGGCAATAATAAACTTGCCTAGGAAAGCTTCTGAATGGAAGTAATTATTTAAGTCTTAAAAGATTAAGTTGTGGTTAAAATAATCAGATGTATTTCTGAGTGTTATCCAGAGATTTCTCTTCTTACCTCACATACCACATTCAGTGCTTTGGTAAATCCAGCTCTATCTTCAAAATATACCCAGAATTTGATTATTTTTCTTCACTTATGTTTTTACCACTTGACTAAACTAAAAGGGATTTCTCTCCTGAATTTTAGTCTCTGAACTGCTCTCCCTGTTTCAGTCTTTACCCTCTGAAGTTGATTCTAAACATAGCTAATACAATAGTTATATTAAAAACCTACATCAGTTCATGCCACAACTATGCTCAGAATCCTTCCATGACTTTTCATCTCATTCAGAGTAAAAACTAATTCTTTACTAAGACTCACATGATATACCTCCCTTGTTAACTTTTGACCTTATCTTTTAGTACTCTTTCCTTTGTTCTTTCTGCTTTGGTCTCACTGGCCTCCATGCTGTTTCAGAACCTTCCCACTCATACTTCAAGGTCATTGTGTTTACCATTTTACTTAGATGTCCACATGGGTAGTTTTTTTTACTTCCTCAAAAGTTTCACTGAGGACTTCCCTATCTGCCTTGTATAAAATTTCAACATTTCATCTTTCACTTTCCCTGCTTTTAATTTTTCCTCTGTAATACACCATCTATGTGTTTTACTAATTTCTCTGATTTATTACATTTCCCCACTAGCATGTAAGCTCTGAGAAAAAAATAGATTTTTTTTTTTCTATTTCATTCACTCTTCTATCTCCAGAACCAAGAATAATACCTGACACAAAACAGGACCTCAACAATTGTATGTGAATGAATAAATGAATGAATGAACCCATTGTTCTGTGAGGAACCCAGAAATACTTTAATTAACTACAGGCAAGAAATCACTGCAGAATAGAAATGTTATAATTCTAGAAGATGAGTTCCAGATAGTTTTGGCCATATTTTCAAAACTCTGATTTTCTTAGAAAGTTTGTCAGAACTAATAATGAGGCTTTGTCTCCAAAATACTAAGTATACTTGTTATTCTGTATCAGTTAAGAGGACTTTTTCCCTTTCCTTCTCACCTGCCTGATTTATAGCATCAATTCCCAGTGAGAGCTTGAAACTGTGCCTGGGCTTCCAGGATTAATTCATGAAACCCTTTGTGTGTTTTCAGGTTTGAAGCAGCCAAGCTTGTCATGCAGTGGCTCTGTAACCATGAAGATCAAAACATGCAAAGGATGGCAGTTGCTATCATTTCCATTCTGGCTGCCAAGGTACTTGAATTCTTGTTGAGTAATTTTCTATAAATAGCTTTTTCCCATTATAGTTACTATTTTTCCCAAAATCTATATGTCAGAAAGGCAAGTAAACCTCTCTGCCAATCTGCTTATTCAAGATGCATTCAATATTGCAGAATTCCAGGCTGGTCAGAGATTTCAGAGTGACCTTTGGAGTCAGTGATACATTAACTTACTAGTGAGTTCTTGGACATTTACCATGTGTTCTGCTTGCTTGCAGCTTTCTACAGAACAAACTGCACAGCTTGGTGCTGAGCTCTTCATTGTCAGAGTAAGTTTGTGATCTCCTCTGCAGCCATTTATTTGTGAAATATGTATAGAATACTCATTAGGTACCTACCACCTTACTAGATATTACAGATTCAAACTGAATTGGATCTTAATTCCTACCCATAAGAAATTTAAAGTATAGTAGAGAAAATAACTATGTAGACATGGTTATAATACAATCTAATAAGTATAATAATAGAGACATGAATGAATGAAAGATGTTATACAAAGAGAGGAGAAGGCTGTAGTAGTGTAATGGAAAGAGTAAGAATTCTGGAGTTGAAGGTGCTATTGCTACTGTATGATCTCGAGTAAGTCACATAAATTTTATTAGGAATGACTAAAAATTACTTTATAGTTACTAAAATGGTTCAATGAGAAGGGAGAAAAAAAACCAAGTACCTTACATAAAATATATGTTAAATTAGTAGAAAAGGGATGCAGATTTTATTTATTTTTACTATTTTCAGGGGTGACATTTAGCTTTACGTGTGACTTTTTATTGTTGTATATGTGTCTCAGTAATTTTGATTAGAAATATATTCAGAGGGGCCTCCCCGGTGGCGCAGCGGTTGAGCGCTGGGTTGCGAGGCTGCCCGCAGCCTCTGCAGCGCCGGTTCGATCCCCGGCCGCTCCCCGGCCACCAGAGGAGGGTCCCACATGGCGCGCAGACTTCTCCTGCCGCCCACTGCTCCCCTCAGCAGTGTACTTCAGTCCTTCTGCCTGCTCTGCTCCCCGCTCTGGCTCTGGTGAGTTCTCTCACCCTCCCACGCTTCTGACTGTACCCAGTGCATGTATAAACAAAACAAACAAACAAATAATAAATAAATAAAACATGCCTCTATAAAAAAAAAAAAAAGAAATATATTCAGAGATTTTTAGATTCAGTAGATTTTCAGTCTACTAATATACATTTTGTTTTTTTCCTGAATTATATGTAACTTTAATAGTTTACTTGTATCTGTGTTAGCAAAGCTTCCTTTCACTCCTAAAAGTATAGTCAAAAATGGAATTTTGGATGCCATGTATAGTTCTTTTTTTTTTTTTTTTTTTTTTATAGAGGCATGTTTTTATTTATTTTGTTTTGTTTTGTTTGCTTGCTTTGTTTATACATGCACTGGGTACAGTCAGAAGCGCGGAAGGGTGAGAGAATTCACCAGAGCCAGAGTGGGGAGCAGAGCAGGCAGACTGACGAAATACACTGCTGAGGGGAGCAGCGGGCGGCAGGAGAGGTCTGCACGCCATGCGGGACCCTCCTCTGGTGGCTGGGGAGCAGCCGGGGATCGAACCTGCGCCGCGGAGGCTGCAGGCAGCTTCGCAACCCAGAGCTCAACCTCTGCGCCACCGGGGAGGCCCGCCATGTATAGTTCTTAAAACATTCTTTTAAAGTGAAATATCTTAGTTGAAAGTATAGAAATAATTTACAAATGAAATTTCAAAGCTTATTTAAAATCTAATATAGATTTCAAGTTTCTTGTATTTATTTTGTCTCTTTTTTAAAAAAAGATTTATTTATTTATGCCTACAAGAACTGGGATGTAAGCCAGAGGTGCGGGGGGTTGAGAGGATTCACCAGAGAGAGTGGGGAGCAGAACAGGCAGATCCACTGCTGAGGGGAGCAGCGGGTGAGACAGGAGAGGCCTGCTGTACCATGTGGGTTAGCTCTCCGGCCGGCCGGGGATCGAACTTGTGCCGCAGTAACTGGCGACAGCACTGTCTTTAACCTCTGTGTCACCGGGGAGGCCCTATTTTGTCTTTTTTTTTTTTTGGAAGGAAAACTTAGGAGTTGATTTATTAATTTTTCTTACTAAGTTGACCAGCCTCAAATTATTTAATATTTCCCAGATTCCATTTCCTCTCCTGAAAAGTACGGGTAGCAGTACTGTAGTATAGAATATGATTTGGTGATACTTAATAAATGTTAGCTTTGGGGCTTCCCTGGTGACTCAGGGGGTTAAGTCTCAGCATTGTGAAGCTCTTGGCAGCCACTGCAGTATGAGTTCAATCCCCGGCCAGGGAGCTAACCCACATGGCACAGCAGACCTCTCCTATCTCGCCCACTGCTCTCCTCAGCAGTGTACTTCAGTAGATCTAACTGTTCTGCTCCCCTGTCTCTGGTGAATCCTCTCACCCCCCACCATACCTCTGGCCTGTACCCTAGTTCTTATATGCATAAATAAATAAATCTTTAAAAAAAAAAAGTTAGCTTCATTTTCCCTTTTCCCTCTATATCTTTTTTATTACCAGGATCTGTAAATAAGTATAGGTTGTGACCAATTGGGTGGGATAGTTGGCCTTAAGCTTTAATTATTTTCCTTTTTATTTGATTTATAGGCAATTAGATTGTAGGTATGATCAGAATAATGTAGAAGTATTTATAAAGATCTTATACTTGCTGAAGGAAAAGTCTGATCCAAGAGGCTGTTTGTTATAAGAACCTTTATAGGTAATGTTATAAGTCATGAGATTAATCATCACAGACTTGTCATTATTACCTCTAATTGTAATAACAATTCAATGAGAAATTAATTTTATTTTCCTTCTTTCAGCAACTTCTTCAAATAGTGAAGCAAAAAACCAATCAAAATTCAGTGGACACTACTTTGAAATTTACTTTAAGTGCACTCTGGAACCTTACAGATGAATCTCCAACCACTTGCAGACACTTTATTGAAAACCAAGGTTTAGAACTCTTCATGAGGGTTCTAGAGGTTAGAATGGGAATTTAGTTTACACTTTTGATATTTATTGATTAATTAATAAATATCATTTATTATATTTGGTTCTTTTGATAGTTACAGGTTTCTCTTTCTTTTTACAGTCTTTCCCAACTGAGTCATCCATTCAACAAAAAGTCCTAGGACTTTTGGTAAGATATAAGCATTTGCTGCTAAATTCCAAGCTATAATTTTTTTTAAAGTGATCTTAAATTCTGGGCTAAAAATGACAAATACAATGAACTTAAATTAGAAAAATTAAGATTCTAAATAAATTGCTAGGGAATTTCATAATAGGGTCAGTGAAAAATTTTCTCTACATACAAAATTTTCTCTACATCTGTTAATATGGTCATTAACAGATTAGTAAATCTTACTTGGAATGATAAGGCAAAAATAGTAAAATCAGGGGAGCCTCCCTGGTGGCGCAGGGGGTAAGCACTATGAAGCAATCCACAACTACTGCAGAGTTGGAGTCCAGCTCAGGGAGGTGACCTACATGGTACAGCAGACCTCACCTGTCTCACCCACTGCTCCCCTCAGCAGTGTATTTCAGTAGATTCGCCTGTTCTGCTCCCCTCTGTCTCTGTTGAATCCTCTCACTCCCTGCACCTCTGGCCTACACCCCAGTTCTTGTATGCAAAAATAAATAAATCTTTAAAAAATATAGTGACATTACTTCCACAAAGCTTATTTAAAATCTAATATAGATTTCAAGTTTTTTGTATTTATTTTGTCATCATTACCTTCACCTTCTCTTTCAAGTAGGGTGCTTCAATATCTTGATCAAATCTAAGTATGAAATTTGCTGCAACAGTTCAGAAATACTTTCTCTGTAGTCTTCCATATTTTGTAATCTCACAGTTAAACAAGTCAAGACTTCAAATTTCTCACTCTACTGAGTCCTTTACTGAGACCTCCGATTTTGTTTCCGCTCATACTTAGGTAGGTGATATTTGAATATTTCTCAGCCAGGACTTCCAAGTCTCCAGAAATCAGATTATCACTAAAGTTTCAACTTTAAAGTCTATTTAAGTTGGGTAGCCAGGTCGGTGAACTTAGTTCTGCATTATCCATATTCAGAAATTCTAGATTTTTGAAAACATCTTTCAGGCCTTAGTGACAACAGTTATCAAAGGGTAATTCTGTCACCTCCTCCAAGACTCTGTTCCTTAATTCCAGGTTAATCCTTTCATCTCATTGTTCTCTTCCTGTTCTTCCACTGCTCTTTTCTTCCCTTACCCTGTCCTACTTTTTCTTTTTTTATATAAGATTTATTTTATTTATATAAGAACCAGGGTATAGGCCAGATGTGCAGGAGGGTGAGAGGATTCATCAGAAACAGAGCGGGGAACAGAACAGACAGAATGAGCGAAATACACTGCTGAGGGGAGCAGTGGGCGAGACAGGAGAGGTCTGCCCCACCATGTGGGTTGCTCCACAGCCGGCGTGGATCTAACTGGCACTGCAGCGGCTGTGGACAGCCCCACAGTGCTGTGCTCAGCCACCTGTGCCACCAGGGAGGCCCCAGTACTATTTTTCATTACCCACCCCCAACCTTAACATTTGAAGAGATTTGTAAATGAATGAAAATAAATGCAAATATATATGCCTACCACTATCATCAGATAGGTGGGGGTTAGGGAGCGAGGAAGAAAAGAATAGCAAATAGAGTCCAAGTAATTGAGACTCTAACTTGACTACTCCTAACTCCTTGTCCACACACTCAAGCATACATTCACATGTGCACACACTGCCTCCACCCCGAAGTCCCTTCTCTTTCAAAGACTGTTCAGAAACTTAAGGTGTAATTTTTTTTCTGCTTGAGGTAATAGTTGAAGGTTGCTACTATACTTGTAAATACTAATTAAGTAAGAAAATGGGTACAATGTAATAAGTGAAAAGAAGGCCACAAAACTATATGTAGTTTACCCTTTAACAATGGGGGTGTTAAGTGTACCAACCCCTGCCAAAAGAAGTTTTAAGAAAGAGGATTAATCATTAGAATGCTGAGATAAATTGGATCTTTAATCCTTTAGGAGGATCAACCAGTCTTAAGTTTGGAAACCCTTAAATTTTTTCACATGTGAGCAGAAGTCTTTCTTAAGTATTGCCTAGGAAAACCATCTTACTCCAAGTCCAGCAGGCAAACACTGGCATTCAGTAGAGGTCTAAGACTGAATTTTTTTAATACATGTGATCACTATGTTCAAACAAGTGGATGCTTTCTTGTCTTCTTAGACTTTCTACATTATTCAGAACTGCTAATCCTTTTATTCTTTGGATGCACTCACCTTTCTCTGTTACAAATACCAAACTTTCCTGTTTTTTTCCCTACTTATCTTGCTGTTGCTTTTCAGTTTGAAAAACTGTAGTTATAAATCACAAGGGAAATCTTTTCCATTTAGACTCAGTCTCAAATTTCAATAAGCCTCTTTTTCATATGTCTGTATTGTCCAGTCTTTTATTGAGGTGTAATGCTTTGAAAGCCCTTGCCTGGAATGGGAAATCTTACTTCCAATTTGCAGTCTTTACCTTCTATTCTTACATAACTCATACAACCCAGTGTTCTTTCTCCTGCAGGTGATGGCTTGTTATTGCTTTAGTTTCGTTCTGTGTTTGCGATTTGCTCGAGCAAGTAAACTTACATATTTAAAAGCTGTTAGTTATTTTTCACTCAACATTTCTAGATATTTTGTAGTAAAAGGATTTATTGGTTATCTAGTTAATCATTTTGCTTGAAAAGGAACTCTATATTTCTTCTACCTTTCTTATTACTTTATTGTTTAAGGAAGAGAAAAAGTATATATCACCTGTAATCCCACTACCCTATGTAGGTACATGTTTAAATCATTGTAATCTGTTGTCTTCACCGTTTGCCTATGTGCAGCTCATGTTTAAATTATTGTAATCTCTATTTTTTCTTAGCATACAAAGTCACTTAGCCATTTATCATACATAATAAATTTATTTTTTTTTTTTTTTCAGAATAACATAGCTGAAGTGCAAGAATTGCATTCTGAGTTAATGTGGAAGGATTTTATAGACCATATTAGTAGCCTCCTACACAGTATCGAAGTGGAAGTCAGTTACTTTGCAGCTGGAATTATTGCCCATTTAATATCTAGAGGTGAACAAGCATGGACATTGAGCCGTAGCCAGAGGAATTCTCTTCTGGATGATCTGGTATGGTAATTTGGTGTTTTCTGGAGTGTACAAACAACATTCGTAGTTATATTATCAAAACCTTATAATGCAATACTGTAGTAATAAATATTGTAATCCTTTCTCGCTTGTCTTGTGTCTTACAGCATTCAGCTATTTTGAAATGGCCAACTCCTGAGTGTGAGATGGTAGCATACAGGTAATTGGCATGATAATTAACATTCAACCAGTAATGTAGTCATATTGTTTGCCTGGAGATCATTTCTACAATATGTATAATTTTTCCCTTTGGCATCTATTTTCATACTGGCTTTGAAAGAAGCAAACTATTTTGACTTTTTTCTTTAGTCATCAGTCCTTGATTCTACATTTATTGAAGACAAGTGCCAGGGACTTATTCAGTACTTTTGAAATTCAAAAATAAGTAAGACATTGTGCCCCCACACAAGAATCTTACAGCCTAGTTAGGAATACCAAATGTGAATCAGATATAATTCACTGCTATGCTAGTTATGTGTGTAGATTGCTGTAAAATTAAAGATGAGAGTACTTAAATCTTCACTGGAAAAGTATAAGAAAAAGCTTCCAAATAAAGTGGATTGTGAGCTGAGTTTTGAGAGATGATTAGGTGCAGAAAATTTTAGGAAAAAGAAATGATATGTTAATGTAACAAGGTCTAAAACAGGATGACACACTGGAAGAAAGAAAAGTGGCACTAGATTAGTTTGGAGAAACTGTTTATAGTAACTTTTTAAAGTGTATGCCTAGGGCCTCCCCAGTGGCGCAGTGGTTGAGCGCTGGGTTGCGAAGCTGCCCGCGGCCTCTGCGGCGCCAGTTCGATCCCTGGCTGCTCCCCGGCCATCGGAGGAGGGTCCCACATGGTGTGCAGACCTCTCCTGTCGCCCACTGCTCCCCTCAGCAGTGTACTTCGGTCCTTCTGCCTGCTCTGCTCCCTGCTCTGGCTCTGGTGAATTCTCTCACCCTCCCGCGCTTCTGACTGTACCCAGTGCATGTATAAACAAAACAAACAAACAAATAAATAAATAAAACATGCCTCTATAAAAATATATATATATATATTTTAAAAAAATAAATAAATAAAGTGTATGCCTAACTCTGTTTTTGACAAGTAGGTAACATGATGGTGAGGTTGCTAATTACTTAGAATATCCATATTGCTGCTGAATAGTATTATTAAAACTTATTTTTTTGTGGTTTATTTCATAAATGCTGATTCTGCCAATATTTTTTACTTCTTCAGCTTTATATTTTTCCCATTTGGGGGGAGGGTGCAGAAGACCAGAAGAAATAGGCTAATTGTATACCTCATACATGGCGATCAACCAATTATTTATTAACTAACTTCTCCTTTTATAAATTTCCAGACCAAAAAAGTACTTTTGGAAAACATGTTTTTCTCTGTTAATAACTTGTTCTGAAAAATTTCGTCTTCTGTATGAAGATTTTTTTTCTGAGTATAATCCTTTCTCAAATGGCGGAGACAAAATATGTACTGTAATACAAATTTCATAATACATGCATATCAATTTAGAAATAGGGCAAAATTTCTAGAATGGAAAGCTCAGGAATCATTACTTTAAAAAATCATACTAAGGGCCTCCCTGGTGGTGTAAAGGGTTAAGTCTCAGCACTATCAAGCTGTTGGTAGCCAATGCAGCATGAGTTCAATCCCCGGTCAGGGAGGTGACCCACATGGCACAGCAGACCTCTCCTGTCTCACCTGCTGCTTCCCTTAGTAGTGTATTTTAATAGATCCACCTATTCTGCTCCCACTCTGTTTCTGGTGAATCCTCTCACTCCCCTGCACTTCTGGCCTACCCAGTTCTTATATGCATAAATAAAAATAAAATCTTTTTAAAAAAGACACTAAGTTCAGGATGTAATCTTTTTTCATTTCTTTTGCCCTTTTAGGTCTTTTAATCCATTTTTCCCATTACTTGGCTGTTTTACAACACCAGGAGTCCAGCTGTGGGCAGTTTGGGCCATGCAGCATGTCTGCAGCAAGAACCGTATGTACTAAAAAAAGAAAAATCAGTGAATCTGTCTGTTCTGTTCCCCACTCTGTCTCTGGTGAATCCTCTCACTCCCCGCACCTCTGGCTTACACCCCAGTTTTTGCATGCATAAATAAATTAAAATAAATCGTTTAAAAGAAAAATGAATTATGTATCATGTGAAAAAAGTCATTACAGAGATATTTATCACACTGCAGCAGCATATGTTAGCATTATTCAGTAACATAACAGCAAAAAATTGAAGTAAAATAAGAACTCTTTTTTTGTGGGATAAATTGCATTTTAAGAAAAGCTTTCTCCTGTTTCCTTTCAGCCTCAAGATATTGCAGCATGCTGATTGAGGAAGGTGGATTGCAGCATTTATATAACATAAAAGAACACGAAAAGACTGATCCCCATGTCCAACAGATTGCTGTGGCCATTTTGGACAGCTTAGAAAAACACATTGTACGCCATGGGAGACCACCTCCCTGTAAAAAGCAGCCCCAGGCCAGACTAAATTGATAGCCATAGGTAATTGGATAATTGAATCACAGGAATTCTTTCTGTGATAGGTTCATTTAGAATATCATCCTCTGTGATATTTTGAGGGTTTCTGACTAAAAGTCGTAAGATCAATTTGAGATTGATGATGTACAGTACTGCCCATATGAACAGCCTCTAATTTGTCTTGTGATTTTTAACTTAAGAGGCAAGAAGGGTTTCTCCTTCATCATTGCCTTTTAGGAAGTTTTCCACATCTTTCAGTGTTTGAACTTATCTGTGCTTGAAATTCTACAGTTTTATGATAAAGTTTGCACGAACCCTTAGACCAGATTTTTCAGATCTCTAAGTTCCTTCTAATCAATTTGCAGCTTCAGATAAGCTGTTCTCCTGATTTCTGGCACTGCTTCAGTTGTAAATTTTATACTGCTTCTGTATAAAATGCCTTTATTCTGTGTCTGTGTATCTTTTATAAGATGTCCTTCTTAGTGTGAAAGAATCTGAGTTCTCTCCTTGTGGAAGCTACTCACTGACTGAAGCCTGAATGGATGGCAGAAAAATATATTAAAAGAAAAGCAATTAGTGGAGAAAAGAGTTTAAGAACTGGGGCAACAGTCACTTTCATGGTATAATTTTTAAATTGTGACAGCTGTCCTTCTGGAGCCCACCTCTTTGAGGCAGCGATCAGTAGCCTAGAAACATGGAATGCCACTTTCTATACAGACACTGGTTAGTCTCTAGAAATATTTCCCCAAGCATCACAGTGTATAATATTACAGCATTCTGTGTTAAAGATTATCTGTCCAGGGCTCTATGTGTCATACTGTTGTGGAAATGTAAAATTTTAAAAAATTGTCTTGTTAAAACTGGCCATTCTTTCTCTTCTGTTTCAGTCATTTTTGTTCTGTGGAATAAAGACTACATGCAATGTTACCTGCTCAGTTAAAGTATAATTGATAGCTGTAAATTTTGCCCTAAGAAGTCAAAAATTTTTTTGTTTCCACATAAATTTATCAAATGTTGCAGGAAGATGTCGCCATCTCACTGCCAAAAATTAAGAGATTACTATTAATATAAATAATTTGAGTTGCATTGCATAAAAGGAAATGTTTTTTGATGGTTATTTCTTAGACACCTGCCTTTCCTTTAAGAGACCTGTTAAGAGTGTCTTATTTTTCCTATTACAGTAAAGAATCAGTTATCTTTATATCAATTATAGCAGTTGCGAGGCAGTCATCACCAAGAAACTTTAAAAAGATAAATTTTTTTAAAAGAAATTTAAATTTTTCATTTTAAATTTTAATTTGTGGGTAAGGCTAATCTACAGTCTTTATTATTCATGGATAACCAAAATGTTTTAAACAGAGATTTTAAGTGGTACCTTTTTTTAAAAAAAAAAAAAAAAAAAAATTATTTATTTATTTATACAAGCACTGGGTACAGAAGCGCGGGAGGGTGAGAGAATTCACCAGAGCCAAAGCGGGGAACAGAACAGGAAGATGGACGAAATACACTGCTGAGGGGAGCAGCAGGCACGGCAGGAGAGGTCTGTCACGCCATGTGGGACCCTTGCCAGCAGCCGGGGATCTAACCGGCGCTGCAGAGGCTGCGGGCAGCTTCGCAGTCCAGCACTCAACCGCTGCGCCATCAGGGGAGGCCCTTAAGTGGTACTTTTAAATAATGGTCACTACTCAGAATTATTTTTATTTAGAAAGGAGCTGGCTTATTAGCATGCTGATAAGATTTTTGACATACATGTTTTTACACCACTGTCACAATAGTCAGGTTTCAATTACTTGGAACACTTTCACAGGAATGAAAACTTAAACTAAAAGAAAATAGGTTTCTAGAAACAAAGATATTTAAAACCCATATTATACTATGGGTTGATGCTGATTTAATTGATTTAAGAAATTTTTATAAAAGCAACATAAATTTTCAGATTAAGTCCATTTCAGAGGAAATGGAAAATTCTTTTAGATATTTCTTCTTTTTTCTTGTCTTTTAATTGTAATGTCTAAGGTAAAAATGCAGACTATCAGACAGCATACAATAGCTTGGAAGTTGACCATTTCCAGGTTTCTTATGTTAGTTAAGGGAAAGCAAGTTGAGAATTTTGGCTTCAGTTTACTATGTCTCCTGTTTAAGACAAAATATATGTTCCTTATGAGGCTAGTTCTAGGTTTTTATCTTTACAAATTGTTTTCAGAAATGGCTAAACATGTACAGGAAGCAGTAAATTCCTTCATTATTCAGAATAATATCAACAGAAGATTAAAATTAATAAAAATTTTAAATTATTTAATTTAAAATTAAAATCTAACTTAAGTTCAGCAATATTCAACATTAAATTTTAAATTGCTACTTTGAGCTTTGATAATGGCCAGATACTTCTCAATCTTAAAAGCAAAATAGTGTATCACATCCCAAAATTGTAAAAATTGTAGTGCCTTTGTGGTTGGGATGTTTCTTAAGATTGTGTATCTATATCTAGTTAAGGCACAGAATTGTCTGTAAGGGGTTGAATCTGATTAAATTCATTAGATGTATATTTTGAAATTATAAAGCGTAACTGGTTAGCTTCTACAATTATAATCTATTAGGCCCCTCTTTTGCATCTGTATATTGGAATGTAATAGTACTTGGTGCCTTCAAGGGTTACCTCTTCAGTAGCGTAGAGGTGCTATATCAAGCACAATTTAGATTAGGATTGAACCACTCATTGTTCAAATTATAGGTGTGCTCAGATATTTTACAATATCACAATAACTGTCAGCAGGCAACAGCAAGGTTTATATTAAAGGAAATGGAATTAGATTTTTAAAACATGATGATGCATGTTGGTATCATGGAGTGAAAAATAGGAACAGTCTGAAATTAAAGCAAAAATAATTGAGGCTCCTTATCCTTTCCATCACATGTTTTGTTATGGTCTTTATACTGTAAAAAGTTCTTTTTTTTTGTTTGAAAAGAAACAGGAATAGCGTAGTATTAAGGCGTTAGTTAAACCTCTGGTGAAGTACTCAGTGGCTACTCATCTTTTTTCCTATTGGCTACTAATCTTAGTAGAAAATTTGAAAAATCTTATCAGACCCATAGTTCCAAGAAATGACCTTAAATATTGCTGCTTCTCTTTCCTGGGCAAAAAATGCCATTTAATGACACTAGTCAATTTAAGTAAATTATCCAAGGTGGATGTAAACCACCCTAAGACTGCTATATAATCAAAGACTGCTAAATAATCAAAGATGCAGGTTTAAAACATCAATTCTGTATATTCAGCCTAGGAAGCTATACTTAATGGAACTTTGGAGTAGAATTGTTTTTTCCCCATTCCCTTTCATTTGACTGTATTTTCAATTACGTCCTATGTCAAGATAACATCTAGCACCTTTGAAGAACATTGCAATGAAAATATATTTGTGTTAAATTAGGGTAGATTTATGAGTCATAGTTTTGGTTTTGTGTTTTTAATGTATGACCCCATAGGACGTGTGGCAGTACCCAAAGTTCAAAGGAGATCATGAGTAGCAGTGAAAGCAAACTTACTGTCTTGTATATGTGAAACCTACCCCTCCCCTGTCTTCTAGTGGGATGTTTACATTATTTGGTTATTGTGCAACTTTCATTTGCGGTAAACAGTGTTATTACTAAACTGATGGTATAAATTAAAGGCAGTATCATACTGTCAACTGATGTGGGCAGCTTTATCTGTGTGTTCTTTATTCGGGAACTTTATATGGCTAGGACTTCAGAGTATAGTCATCCACCCCATAACAATGTTTTGGATAACAACAGACTATGTATAAGACGGTTGTCCCTATATATAGCCTGGGTTTGTAGTAAGCTATACCATATAGGTTTGTGTAAGTATATTCCATGATGTTTGCACAATAGAATTGCCTAATGACGCATTTCTCAGAACTATCGCTGTCATTTAAGTGACCCATGACTTGTAGTGTTCTGAGGCAGCTTATTGAGAGGTTTGCAAACTTACGGTTTCCCTCTAAAATTGATTGTAGCTGATTTAAATGATCGTTGATACTGAAAGTTTAATCTTTACATTTGCTTTGTATTACACATTTTTAATTTTTAGTGTTAACTCATGAACTTTTCTTTCAGGAATGATGCAAATTCAGCCTTTGTCCAGTGATGAAAATAGCAATATGATAGGAAAATTTGCTCAATGTGCTTTAAATGAGCAATAACTATCTTTTTCAGTATTTCATAGGCTTTGCATGACCTGGTACACTCCTAATTGTGCATTCTTGGGTTTCCAAATCTTAGCCTGACATGTTCTATATTAGTCAATTGGTAGCCTAAGAAAGTGCTTTCTCTGCCTGTTTCTCCTCTCCCCGATTTGGGGGGATAAATTATGGGAAGATCAATACTGTCTCATTTCTCTGGATGAAGAAAAGCTGTGACAGCATAGCCAAACTTTATAGCTAGACAGAAGACTATTAAGAATTCTAGAAAATCCAGATTTAGCAAAGTTATTTGATGCGAAATCATAAGTAGAGTTCGTTAGAATGTGATTTTGGACATTTGGAAAACTTCATATTGGTTCTTTTAGTTTATTTTAATCAATTTAGAAGGAAGAAGCTAATTAGTTAATGAAAACTGAGACAGTTGCATACAAACAAAATCTTGAGAGCATTTTTTCCACTTACAAATAGGAGAATGTGTGTCAAGATTTATCTCACATAATCCTTCAAGAATAAAATTTTTTGAATCCCTGACTTTTGTAGAATCCTCACTGTCAAATTCTCACTGACTTGTGAATAAGCTGTTTTTTGCTTGTTTCCTGATGGAAGAGTTTAACTCCACTCAAATAATAAGAAAAACTTATTGAAAAGTTTAATGTATATACATTCCAAAAGCCTCTCAATTGTCTGGACTGAAGGCTTTATTCTTATTATGGCCAGATGACTTGGAGTGTTCTGTACATGAATCATGTTAGATTTTAAATCAGGACATCACTTAGGTATTAATATTGTGTGTACAGTTTTTTGTTTGGGAATTTTTTTTGGCCTAAATAAATGTTATAAATTTTATGTAAAGTGTTTTGTTTACTTTGATTCCAGACATTTGCGTAAAATTTAGTAATGCACGATTCAGATTCCGCTTTTAACAATCGCTTAATGAAAAAGGCCAATAGTTTTGTTGCAAAAGTTTCCTAGTATTGAAACTGTTCATATCATTAAATACCTATACTAGGTACTGTTTTAAGTGTTGGAATTTAATGTCATGTTACAGACCAGTCCAGAGTGCTTATTATAGAGGTAGAAGTTATAGCTAATGCAGGCTAGACACCATTAAACAACCCAAGAACACTTACCAGAGAACATCTGAATTGACAATCACATAACTATATAATGCATATTGTTTAAGTGCATTTAGGGAGGGAGATTAAACAACTCTACATTATGAGAACTCTTGCGCCAGGAAGAATAAGTGATTTTAGTTTCAGAAATGTTTATAGTAGAAGAAAAAAACTCAGGCCAAATGAACTTGCTCATGTCACACAGCAATGATAGACTCTGCACTACAATTATCATTTTCAGACTTCCAATCCAATCCAATCCAGTAGCTCCCACCCCCACCATATTGTTGCATGAGGTTTTTTTTTAATATTAGTCAATGTGTGAATAAGCATCAAGTGAATAAGAGAAGAGAAGGTGCACCAAATGGTCAGAGAAGTAAAAAAAAAAAGCCCATGATTAGTCTTAAGGAACCATTTCCCTAGTTAATTTGGTTCCCGGGAGCAATATCTCTTTTTTCAAGTTCACTACTATCCATTTGTTAAATTTTACTCATGCTCTTTCACAGTCCTCTTAACTCCAAGCTGACCCTTTCAGGTTTAAGAGTGCTGACAGTTTGTGCTTCTTTGTGATTCCAATTCTTTTATTTCTTAGGCGGATCTCTTTACATAATAAAGGTTTTACTGCTGATGACTACAATGGGAGAAATAAACAGAACCAAGACTTGTGATATATGTAAATCACAAATCTTAAGAACTAGTGATGGAGGCTAAGAGTAGAAAATTTAGGATGGAGGTTTCACAAGGCCAAAAACTGGAGGTGGGGGTAGAAATGATTAACATAATCATTAAATCAGCCATAGAAAAGAAAAATCCTTAGGTGCCAACTGCTAAAGAAAGTATCTAGAGTTGCAAACCTGAGGTGGGGACATGGAGTTTGAGGGCCATTAGAGAATCACTGGTCCTTACAAATAACCCCAATCATACCCTAAAAGTGATTGATTTAACAGTAGGTAATTCTACAAAGGAATGAACCCTTAGTGATGTTGTTTTGATGAGATGTTAGGTTCACCAGTGGGATCCTTGGCTTACCTCTGAGAAAAGTTTGGCAAAATTCCCTTTCAGCAGCACAGTACCCAAGGAGACAAGATATTTGCACAGACACAGGTGAAGGGTTACATTTTAAAAGGACAGGTTTATTAGGAAAAGGAGAAACAAAAGAGACACTTGTGTAGTCACAGGCGGGCAGTCTTGGAGGAGAGTTGAATTTTGCCAGTGCAGAAATTGTATTGATAGTGTTTTTTGGGGAAGGGGCCCATTCATTTGTGGAATTCTTATCTATTGTTAATCACTTTTAGGGCCTCCCTGGTGGCACAAGGGGTTAAGACGTAACCTATGAAGCTGCCAGCAGCCTCTACAGCATGAGTTTGATCCTTGGCCAGCCAGGGAGCTACACACATGGTGCAGCAGACCTCTCCTGCCTAGCCCGCTGCTCCCCTCAGCAGTGTACTTCGGTCGATCTGTCTGTTTTGTTCCCCACTCTGTCTCTGGTGAATCCTCTCGCCCCCCCACAACTCTAGCCTGTACCCCTTGTATGCAAAAACAAATCTTTTTCAAAAAAATAAATCACTTTTAGGGTGTGATTGGGGTAATTTGTAAGGACCAGTGATTCCCTAATGGCCCTCAATTTCCATATCCCCACCTCAGGTCTGCACTTCCTGATACTTTCTATAGCAGTTGGTACCTAAAGATTTTTCTTTCTCCTTTTTTTAAAAAGATTTATTTATGCATACAAGAACTGGGGTACAGGCCAGCGGTGCTGGGTGGGGAGCAGGTTGAGAGGATTCACCAGATAGAGTGTTGAGCAGAATAGGAGGATCTACTGAAATACACTGCTGAGGGGAGCAGTGGCGAGGCAGGAGAGGTCTGCTGCACCACATGGGTTAGCTCCTGGCCGGGGATCAAACTTGTGCTACAGTGGCTGCCAATAGCTTCATAGTGCTGAGACTGAACCCCTTGAGTCACCGGGAAGGCCCCGACATATATATTTTGAAGCTACACCTGCTAAGGAAAAACCTGGGGTAAAATGACCCAGCGTATGAGTCTTCACCATGAGTGTTTATACCTTCTTAAGAATACAGGAAGAGATCCAAATACAGATTTACATCCAGAGTGAAAAAGGGATCTCTAAGAGAGACAAGAAATTTTATTGGCTGGTACATGGCAGGATGCTATCTGTCCTACCAGCAGATAACATCAGTTGAGCAGAGACCCGGGTGCAAGAAGACAAAAAGGAGAACAGCTCTCTGTGTTCAGTCATTTTAAGGTCTGCCTGGCAGGTCTGATCCCTTTGTTCCCAGCAGCGTCCTCTCAGGAAGTCGGGTAGTCAGAAAGCTACACCTACTATGGTATTGGCTCTAATGAAGCGAAAATATATTATTGAACAAATGAATATAATAAAAATTCCAGCAGAACTTCCAGCCCAGGTGCAATGAACACTCCAACGCAGGCATAATCAACAAGTTTGCTTACTTACAGCTTCTTCCCTTTCAAGATTCGTGGCCAGGGCCTCAGCACTCTTATCTACAAGGTTAGGCAGCTGGCCAAGCTGGTCTGTCTCTCCAAGGCCATCCCCTAATGCCTGCATCTTTCCCCCCTTGCCTTGCCCCCTTGTCTGAGGACTTTGCCAAAATGGTTGTAACTGCTGAAATATGATGTTATCAAGGTAACAGATATGGACACAGTTGTGAATAAAAGGAACCCTTGGTCTTTTTTTTTTTTTTTCAAAGATTTATTTATTTATGCATACAAGAGCTGGGGTACAGGCCAGAGATGTGGGGGGTGAGAGGGTTCACCAGAGACAGAGCAGGGAACAGAACAGGCGGACTGAATGAAATACACTGCTGAGGGGAGCAGCGGGCAAGCCAGGAGAGGTCTGCTGGGCCATGTGGGTTGCTCCCTGGCCAGCCGGGGATCGAACTCGTGCTGCAGAGGCCGTGGATTGCTTCATAGTGTGGTGCTTAACCCCTTGCGCCACCAGGGAGGCCCCCAGAACCCTTGGTCTTTAAACAGATGCTCAGACCTTATGGGCTACCCAGGTCTGGGACCTCATGCATGAGTAATAAAGCTTTTCCTGACCTCACCATTCCTGAAATACCGCTTGTTCTTCCTCTGCCTGGGTAAAAAGTAGAATTTATTTCTACAACACTGAGAGGCACCCACTGACTCAGAGTTTGCTCCTCCCTGTTCCTCTTACACAGCAGGATTCCCTAAAGGATAGGACAGGGTATATATGAATACAAGAGGAGTTAATACCAATTTCTAAGGTTTTTTTGTCACAAGCCACTGAAAGGAAGAAATTGCTCTATACTAAAATGGGAAGACTGGCAGGTAACATAGGTTAACACTATCAGTGTTATAGGGCAGCCCCGATAAAAATGGGGTGCCTGACTGTGGGTCCTCACCCACGCGCTTAAAAGGACTTATCAATGCTCTACTGCAGGCACACATGAAAGGTTAATAAAAGGTTTATTTACAAGGGAAGGGGAAAAGAGGAAATGTACAGCTCAGGGAGAAAAGTGGGAGACAAAGTTTTAAGTGAGTCCTACCCGATTCGCCGATCAGGAATCCCAAAATGGCACTCTGAGAGCTGGCCGCAAGCCAGGAGCCGTGAAGCCAGGAAGCAAGCGATAGTGAGCCAGCCCAAGGCCCACGTGTTTGGTTTTTATATCCAACCTGGCTGCCCAACTCCACCCTCAGGTCCCAGCCACCCTCCCTTTGGTGGTGATGGGATTTGTCTTTCCCAATGTCTTGATGGCTTTAGTCTGGAGTGGGGGTGGGGTCCACAAAGCCTGTATGGGATTAGCTCAGGACATCATTTCCCCCTACCATCAGGAGTTTATTTTTGGAAACGAAGTCTTTTCCGTAACCTGGTTAGTATGTTGAATAGAGTTGGCTATATTAATCTGGAGTGGAAAAACAAGATAAATGCTAGACATATAAAACGGGGATATATTAGCTTATTGAAAAATTTTAAAGTTATGAAGCATGGTGGCCTGGGATAAGCAGCCTGGGGACCTTAGCAACAACCTTTTACTCAGTTCATTGTATGCAACTTAATCCCTGCTCTGACTCTTAGACCATATACCGCCATGAGGCAGGATGGACCTGGGGGCATCCCATGACTACTCACCCTTTATTCACACCTTGGTATGCAACTCTACGACTCACCTCTTGGCATGTAGCCACGTCCTATCTGACCATGTATAGCTGCCAATGCAAACCCACCCAGAACCTTGTAGAAACTGAAAGTGTATATAAGCCCCTGACTTCCTACAGACAGGGCTCAGCCTTGGGATATGAATCCGCTGAGTCAGCCCCGGTGCATTAAATGTGCTTCTTGTTAGCCCTGGTGTCCATGTTTCCTTTGTGCCATATAACATTTCTGAAATGAGAGAAAAAACACCACAAATAGGAGAGAAGAGGTACACAAACACTGACTCCTGCGGTGCACGAGATTTAGAACACCAAGTAATGAAGAATCAGGAGGACAGAAGTATTGATGGAGGATAAGAATAGAAAAACTGGAAAGGAGATACAAAGTCAAGAACATAACTCACACAGGAGGTAGGGGTAGAAGGGATTACCATAATTCATTAACCCAGTTATCGAAACCAAGACCCTTAGGCATCAACGCCAGATCAGGAGGTGCAACACCCAGAAACTATCAGACTGCTATAGGGAGTGTCAATGGCACAAACCATCCACCCACAAAGATGAGTCCCTCCCTAAAGATGATAAAGCCTAATGCAGCCCTCACAATGGGGCAGCATTCTGTCTGCCCACCTGTAACTATGCAGGTGCTTCCTCTTACCAACTCTCCCACTCCTCAGGGCAGCAGCCTCCTTGCCTGCCCATGACCTTGTTACAGGACAGGGAGAGGGGCACCTCAGACCTCAAACCTGCCTGATCTAAATAGTTTCTGCTGAGACACAGGGCAAGCTAGAAATTAGGCAGTTTCAGGGACAGTGCAGGAGGGGACCTCTGAAGAATTTAGGGAGGCTTCAGAGATAAGGACAACCAAGGGAATGTAACCAATTCCACTAGGAAAAACAAACATCTCAGGACCAAGGACAACATTGTTAAAGCTGGTCCTGGTTTCCTTCAGGTGGTAAAGGGAGGCGGAGATTGGAGAAATGGAGAGTGGTTTAATTTATGGACAACTTAGAAGGGCAGCTGTTTAACTTCAATGCAGGGATGCCCATCCAGAGGACTGGGCCATAAATTTAAAGATGCAACAAATGGGGAAAGAAAAAGCTGTTAGATAAGGAATGTGAAGATCCCCCACTCAGTAGCAAATTAAGTGAGACAGCCGAGAACTAACCAATCACAAAGAGACTGGTGGAGCTTTAGAATAATGAGGGAAAAAAGGTATATATTCCCTGAGACACGACTCCACTTTGGCTTCCTTGCCCCTCCCAGGCCTGGTTCCCTGGCCTGGGAGTCCCACTTTATTTCTGCTCTTTTTCTCCTCAATAAGCTTTTTCTTTCTCTAAACAAACCTGCCTCTTCTCGCTTGCTTGCCTGAGCGTCTGCGAAGTTCCTGCTGCGGCTTCGTGAGACACCAACCCGTGGGGGTCTAGTGGCTGGGATTCAGCGCTGCCCTGCAGCCTGGGATCTGTTCCTGGCTGGAAGACTAGGCCTGACAATTCTGGTATCACTGCCATCCGCCTCATCAACACAAAACATATGAGACTTTAGTGGGAAAGAACTTTCATACAATTTGGAAACAATACAGGAAAGGCAAAGAATGTAGTTTCTAAATCAAGCACCCAAAGTTACCCGTCCCCTTGTGGGCAGAAGTCCACCCAAGAGGGATTGGCCCAGAGTAAGGCCCCAAAACCTGTCACAAGTCTAAAGCATCTTCCAGTGGGGACCCACAGAAAAGGATCAGAAACAAACAGACAAGTCTGAAAGGAAAAGACCAAAATTAAAATCAAGACAAAAACCATCATTGTCACCTCCCCACAGGTCTCTCACCCACATCTGTGTCACCCAGTCCATGACCAAAAGGCAAGCGCAGTTTCTTCACGTGTCTCTCGGCTCTGTGTGCTTCCTCCAGGTCTCCTCTGGCTCTCCATCCTGCTTCCTTCCTTCCTCAGTCTCCTTTGCAGCTTCTCTCTCTCAGCTCCACTCTTCTTTTGGGTGGAGCAGTAAACCAGGAACCTCCCCTTTTCCTGGGGACCACCCTGTTACAACCTGTATCATGCCGGGGCTTCTCTTCACTGACCCCCTCAGTGGAGGCAGCTCTCCTGAAGGCTGCCCACCTGCAACCACGCAGGCCTCTCAGCAAAACTGTCCCTTTCAGGGCAGCTCT